TTAAATATTTTAAATAATTAAAAAAGTAGATCAGAGATATATTTATAGTAATTATGTAGGCAAATTTGCCTGCAAATCTCTACCAATTAAGAGATATGATTGTCGAATCCTAACCAGTTAGAATCGAGAAGAGCAAAAAAAAAAAAAATTCCAGAATCATAATTGTTGATTCAGTATTTTTTTTAAAAAAATTATGAAATAGAGTTACCTAATTCAGTTTTTTCCAAATTTTGGTCTTAAACGTCCAAGCTTTTTATGACCAAAAGACGAGAAGTTAATTTTTGTCAGAAGCTTTAGAGAATTTCAGAATTGTTGGTATTATTTGATTGATCAGTATTTACTATTTCTGGGTCCTTGATTGAATATTTATAATTATATAAGCCGATGGTATGTAGCAAGTATTGTGCATTTTTGATATCCAAGACCTTTTTAATTGCAACATCCAAGAATTCCGAACATGACTATACTCTAGAAAATTCAAATGTAAAATTAAGTGCTGAATATATTTTGATTTATAACCATATTTCGTAAATTCTGAATATAAATAGTATAGAAACTATGCACATAGTATGTGTTTTGTATGATAAATAAAAATAATAAACATAAATAAAACCAGTTAAAACTTAAGCATTTCATATCAATTTTTTTGGGGGCCTTTTACCTGTTGTATAATGCCCGTAGTTCACTTTTCTAGTTCATTACAACTCCTTATTTGCAAGTAATGTATCTATATAACTAAGTGTTTGACCGTTGTGAAAGGCTTCGTGTTGCCACTAGGCTCAGTTCTTTTTATAATTATTTCTATTTTAGCAAAATCGAACATAGGTGTATTAGTTTTGGTTAGTATATGTTGCTATCCATAATAAGAAGCAAATTTAGTAAATTTAGTAGAATTAGAAAATGTATTAGACAGAGCGAAACTATGAGAGATTTTAGTATGATAATCAGCACAAAAATTATATTTATAACTGAAGTAGATTAAATGACCTGTGATGCGTGATTCCAAAAATCATAACCAAATTAATCTAAATTGAAAGCCCGATAGTAACTGACTATAGTAACTAATAATTCATAGTAAAGAAAGAAAATAAGTAAATACGTATATAGAAAAAAATACTTAAATGCAGACTTTGAGATTGCTGCAATAGCATGAGATGTCCTTAAGTCTCAGAGTAAATCTCCATGCTTCTTTCCACATTAGAGCTTAAAGTAAATTGTTATTGTATTCGTCCATTCTATCTATATTATTCTTGCGTGACCTTTTCCCAATACCTCAATACTGTAATATTAGTAGTTGTCAATACTATTTATATTAAATAGCAACCTCATTGATTAATTCTAAATAAAAAAATTTTTCTACGTATAACAGTTTTTTTTAAAAAATATTGTTTGCTTGAAGTTTAGTCGGGTTAAAAAATTATCCAAATGTGGACTCTATATTAAACCTTTTTTAGGTCAATCACATTAAACTAATGCAAAACAGACAGATACTGTATACTACATATAATGATATGCCTTAAAGAAATAAGCATTTAAAAAGTAATAGTATTAAACCATTATACAATTCGATTACTATGTACTTCAAACACTACCGCTATGTATAATAATGCCTTACATATTTAGAACTTAAACTATTTTATAAAAAAATTTGTTTATAAAATATTGAATATTTGTATCATCATGCGAGCTTGCTGAACAAGAAAGATGGCATGCATGTACAAAATGTACTTTTGAAATGTCATTAAGAACTGAAATTGGATAAATACGATACCACTTCGTATCTGAATCTGTTTGTCTTTCAAATATTGGACATCTTAAAAGAAAATCTGTATGCTTAGTATTTTTTAGCCAATCGATCCATACAAAGAAGTATACAAGTCCATCATTATTCTTATGAGTAAAAATTCTTCTAACAATAGCATAGGATTCGTTGTCTTCTTCTTTTATATTTACAACATCTCCAATATGAAGTTTGATATAGATGTAAAATTCTCCATTATCATCCAAAAGCATATATCAAATGTATTGATAAAGTTTTATAAAGCGTATTTGGATATATGTACGCTGTTTCATATATTCAGAATATGCAGCAAAAAGACCATCCTTTAAAGCATTATTATCATCAAGGCGACTTGTTAATTTTAATGATCGAATTTCAACGTTAGTTAGCCATTGTCGAACCCGAATGTTGATAATTCTGGAGTCTTCTGAAACTATACTCGTCTCTAGAGAATATTAAATATAAAAAATTAATTAAAGAAAAAAAAAGCATTAATTTAAAAATTAATTTAATTTAATAGAAAGATCGAAAAAAAATAAGAGAGTAATAAATACAATAAATAAAAATATACCTTCTTTAGATATATTTTCTGAAAGTAAATCTTCAGTTATATACCATCCTGTGAGAAGTGGTTGAAGATGCTGATCTGTAACAATATATCTCAAGCCGTCTCCAATATTACTCTCATTAAATCTATTATCGATTCCACTATCCATTAAAAATCGAATAGCTTGCAAGACATTGGCATGGCGTATTAAATCAAATTCGATATTTTTTCTATTAGTTTTGAGAATGGCTTGTTTGGAAAGTCTATGCACTATTTCTTTAATAGCGCAATTTGTACAGTGCAGGACAGCAAGAGACATCCAATGTCTATTAATAAAACTTTAAAGTGGTATAACTTTTTTAAAACAAGCT